TAAGAACATTACCAAAACCAGAAACTCTGAAGCCTCTCCCTTGCTTTTTCAAGAATCCAGCTAGAAAATTCCAGTAATTTGGGTGGTGCCTGTAGCTCAGTGAGTAAGGTGATAGCCCCATATACCAAGGGTAGTGGGTTCCAATCTGGCCCCGGCTAAACTGTAACAAAACAAGTAGCCGGGCATTGTGGCAGGGGCCTGGGACTACAAGTCCCAGCTACTAAGGAGGCTGAGGCAAGAGAATCACCTAAGCCCAAAAGCTGGAGGTTGCTGTGAGCTGTGACACCATGGCACTCTACCAAGGGCAACAAAGTGAAACTCTGTCTCAAAAAAAAAAAAGAATTCCAGTAATTTAACTTCTCGATGACTTCTTTGCCTTCATTATCTGGGACTACTCCATTTATCTAGTTCAGACAGTTCACTCTCTGTCTCTTCTAAGCCTCTGTTGTCAACTTGTCCTCCTACTCCTCACAGTGAAGGCCCAGGCCCCAGGCTTGCTGCCCCCACCTGCCCACCCCAGTCTCTGTGTCCTCACTGCTGTGGCTGCAGGTGCCTGGTGAAGACTCGCATATGTTTCTAGCTTATGCCTCTCCTAGGAGCTCCTGCCTGTATGTTCTGGAGCCTACAAACTCTTTCTACTTAGATGTTTCAGAGATACCTCAAACCTAGATATTCCAAACTAAATTTTTCATTTTCCCTCAACCTTTTTGGTCTTCCACTATTCTTCATCTTTGAAAAGGTACAATCTCCCAGCTTCTTCAACAAGAAAACTGGGAATTCATCTTGGCTGTTCCTTCATTTCATTGCCTGACATAAGTTCAAGCTAACGAACACCATCTCCTTCTTGGACAGTTAGAAGCAACATGCTCCCAACAGCTTCTTCTGCTCTCTCCCCACCAATATTCCCCCTACATTGCTGCCAGGGTGATCTAATGCAAACATTAATCCTTCCCCACTGCCTGGAGGCTAATTTTCAAACTCCTTGTTAAAGCACAGGAGGCCTTGTGTCATGTGGCCTCTGCCTAACTCTTCAGGTTAAACTATCACCACTCTCCACTTCCCTGCCTTCTGGAATATCAAACTACTTGTAGTTCTCCACTCACACCACACTGGGGGGCTTTTGTGCAGCCTCTTCCCTCTGCCTGATGATCGTACCTGTTGCCTGCCTGCACACTCCTCTGTAGTCTGCAAAACCTGCTGGATCACCACGGCTTCTGTGGACCTTCTTCTCACTCTCTAGAGCAGAACTGACCCTGCTGTCCTCTGCTTTACATCTCCAAACTCTAACCGTATTTGAGTCAATCCATTTACCTGACTTTCCCGGTGACCAGAGTGGACCCTTTTTGCAGGGAAAGACATCATGCCTTCATCGTGACAGCACCTACCACACTGCCTTACAGACACCAGCACTCTGTGAGCGTCTCAGTTCTGCTCATCCTGGAGGAAGAGGCCCACTTCACATGGGGTAGTATATGCCCTTGGGGGAAAAGTTCTTTCAAGTAATAATATTTTGTTGAGTGATGATATTGCTATGTCATATATGTATTTAGAAGATTTTAATAAAAAATAATTTAAGGCAATTCTATAAAATCCTATTAAAAAGTCAATTGCTTGACTCAAGCTACCTCATTTCCTTACAAGCAAAGCATTGTATTGACTCTCCTCTTTTTACCGCCTTTCACAATCTCTGAGTGTGTCCTATCTCCTCTATCTCTAAACTGCATCCCAAATCTGTCCCCTTACCTTTGTTCCACTGTTAAACTAAACTGCCATTCCAGCCTACCATCACATCTCATCAGGACTACTGCAAAGCCACCTGATCGGTCCCCTCTCTCCACGGAGCATCTGAGGGCTCTTTTCCTAATGCAGAGCAGGTCATGCCTCTTCCCACTGTGAAGCCCCCAATTGCTTCCCATTGACCCAGATATTCAGCTCCTGAGCACCGCCTGCGTGGCCCTAAAACGCCGGCGCTGCACCCACGCTGCCGCCTCTCTCTCCAGGCCTGCACCACCCCTCACACTGCTCTCACCTCACTAGCTCTCTTTCTGTTAGCATCTTACACCATCCCACTTGTTTCCTCCACCTGTAGATGTTGTCTTTTTCTGTCATTCGGGTCTCAGCTCACATTAATTTAAAGCAGCTTCCAGCCACAGGAGGTCACACCATCCTGTTCTATTTTCTTCACCAACCTAATCACTCAGCAGAGCAGCTGAGCAGTGAAGCGCATGCGCAGTAGGCCCACCCACTGTGGGCTCACATCCCAGTCACATGGCTCACTGGCTAGTGAGTAGGGCAAAGCGCTGCGTCTTTCCATGCTTCTGTTTTCAGAGTAACAATAGTGTCTACTTTGTGGAATTCTTACGAAGATGAAATGAGTTAATACATTCAAAGTGCTCAACACAGAATTTGGCTCATAGTAAGCACTGAATTAATGTTGGCTATTATTGACTGTTGTTTGACCCTGCTTTCCGCACTTTACACTCCTGTCCTCATTCCCTGCCAAGCATGTAAAATCAAAAAAAGGAAAGAACTTACTGCCTTGCCACCCACAACTCCTTTATTTCCAAGTGTGGGCCAAGTGTGTTGATGCAAGAGTGAAGTAATAAAAATGAGGGATGAGGGTGTTTATATTTATCTCAAATTGGTGTCTCTTGCTTTAAACACAGGTTCTTACTCTGACATCCAGGCTGAAGTGCAATGGCATGATCAAAGCTCATTGCAGCCTCAAACTCCTGGGCTCAAAAGATTCTCCTACCTCAGCCTCCTGAGTAGCTGAGACTGCTGACACCATCCTACCATGCCTATTAATCAAACTGGCTCATTCTCAAAAACTCTCAGATCTACAGAGGAAGCTCTGAGAATTACTGCAGTTTCTTCTGTTCTTTCTTAGTCTCTATCTCTTAGTGCACTGGTTAAGGGAAGCTCCTCTTCACAGAGAGGCAGAAGTAAATCCCAGCCTGTCACCCACAAACTGGAGGGACATGATCAAGACATGGAGCTGCTTTAGGGGCTCATCAACAACCCTGAACTTGTTACTATTAGCTAAAGGTGCAAGGCTGGGTCAGGTGTTGGGATCTGGTTTTTTGTTTAGATTGATTTTGTCATTAGCTCTAAGATCTATAGTTTTATGAACATATAGTCAAAATACAGGAGAAAAATGTTAATGTCCCCAAGTAAAACTTTGAATTATTTTGCAAGTCATCTGAAAGCAAGTAATGTAAATGGTACCAAATCCAGTGATCAGCTTGGTTTATATCTTTGGGATTATTTTTAATCACTCTTAAAGATTAGTTTCCAATTTTAGCACATACACGCAAACACACACACATCCCTGTTTAGAGTTTATATGCTTAATCACTTAATTTAGAAAATGAGAAAAAAGTTCTCAAACTTACGCTTGAAACATGACAGATGTTTGTTCTCTGTGTCAACATTTCCCTCCAACTTTGAGGAGGGAACCAGCTCTCTCCTAATAACCTCATCCTCAGGCCCAAAGTTATTGATATCTCATTTCTGTGGATTACATCAAATTTAAATTACTTCTTTATGTGCCAGGTGCTCCAAGGCCTTGATCAGCGAGTTTGGATACTCTCCTGCCACCTCATTAAGAGTTCTCCTGGATTTCTGATTGCAGTTCTCCTAATTTGCTGTCTCCCATTTTGTACTCCTCAGTCCCCCAATCTTTAACAGAAAACTGGATTTGAATGTATTTTCTGTTACCACTGACTCCCAAAGAGTTTTTTCAGGTGGTGTACAGCAGGATTCGCCATTAAAAAGTTAGGAAAGCTACAATCCAAATGGAGCCCTAGACTATGGGGAAAGGGGAGGGGGAGGGGAGGGGGGAGGATGGGTGAAGAGAATGATATTGTGGGGATCGGGCCTATAATTTATCCTATTAGGGTACATGTGAATTTGTCTAAAGGTTGAATATAAATGTCTTAACACAACAAATATGAGAAAGACAGGATGGCTATGTTGGCCAGTTGGATGAGAGTTTTCCAAACTGCATATGGAAGCAGCACACTGTATCCTATGATAGAATTAATGTACACAATTATGATCTAATAAAAAACTGTTAAAAAAGTTATTATTTTTCCCTTAATAATATTTATGGAGAGATCTCTGATGAGAAATAAAATTCTCTGTCAAATCTTTGCCCACTGGTCAATTTTCTATGATTATTAGTTGGCATTCTGTTGTAAAGAAAGCCTTTCTTCTTTCTCCACTTATTTATGCATTCTTATTAGTACAGATTCCTGGCTTTTTATTTCATTCATTGATTTATATTCCATTGTTGACATAAAATTATCCCAGCTCTAGCCATCGCGAGACCCTTCAGGCTGACACCTGTGTCCCTTCCGCAGACCCTATTGTTTTTTGAGCACTTTCTCATTTCTGACACAAAAGCCTTGTCTTGAACTTTTTCTGCCCCAGGTCAAGCAATGACAGGTCAGGAATACATTCAGCACCCAGTCCTGATTTCCCAGCGCCATTCTCCAGTAAGCGGAGCCACGGCTCTTTGCCTCTACTCCTTGGAGAGAACTGGAGAACGGCCCTGGGAAGTCAGACTAGGTGCTGGATGTATTCCTAGCATGAATTGTTGAGCTAAATAATAACAGCGCCTTCTTCGCCCACGTAGAAGAAGGGTTCCTCTACGGGTTAGAACTCAGAGACACCACTGCGACTTGGCTCTCGGAAGCAGTTTGCATAGACTTTCTCGGCAGCACCTCTGCTGGGAGGGAGCGTGCCCCGCGCTGCGCTCGCACTCGCCACTCGGAAGCCGCCCGGCTCCGCGCCGGGACCCTCCCACGGAGCCTGCGGACGCAGCGCGGCCAGGGTCCCGCAGAGTCCGCAGTGCCCTGCGCGGCCCGGCGCGGCCTCGGAGCCGGCGTCCGCCGCGCTTTGCAGGGACACCGCGGGGGCCGCGCCAACCTCCGACTTCCTCCCGGCGCCGCCTCCGATTGGCTCCCGGGCGCGTAAGAGCCGGGGACGCGGGCCGCGGGCAGCCGCGCGCCGGAGGTCCGGCTGGCAGCGCCCTTCTCCCGCGGCGGGCTGGCAGGCGAGCGAGGGCGGCATGCGCGCGTCCTGCGTGCTGCTGGCCGCGCTGGCGGCGCTGGCCGCCTACTACGTGTACATCCCGCTGCCCGGCTCCGTGTCCGACCCCTGGAAGCTGATGCTGCTGGACGCGACTTTCCGGGGCGCACAGCAAGTGGTGAGGCGCAGCCCGGTTGCCCCCCCTTTCTCCCCTTGAGCAGCGGGCGCGGGAGGCGGGGTGTCCAGCGGAGTCCAGAGCGCACGTCTGCCCGGCGCGCTGAAGCCCAGCGGACTAAGGTGGCGGGAGCTCCCGAGGTGTGGCGTTCACCGCTCGGCTGCTGGCAGCGGGCTAGATCTGTTTCTCCTCGTCTGCGTTTGTGACGGAAGAGGGGAAGTTCTTGCATAGAATGTGACAACAGTGCTAAAGGTCCCCTTCTTTCTTGGTTTGCAACGTGAGGAAACAAATCCTTCCGTATTTGACAAGCCACCCTTCCCCCACCGTCGCTCCGCGGTGGCCGCTGGTAGACAGCGAGTTAAACGCCTAGGCAAGGCTGGGGAAAGCTGGCTCTAGTCCAGGGACGCGGCCCCTAAAGCAGGTGCGCCCCGGCGGCGCATCGCGGCTCTGAGCAGTGGCTCGGGTCTGCTCGGGTCTGCTAGGGTCTGCCTGGGACAGGCGGCTGGGCCAACTGGAAAGGAGGTGGCGGGGGCAGCTGCTGCCCTTGCTTGCGTGATGTGTGTTTTCTTCCCGCAGCATTTATTTTCTGTTCCTAACTGTCAAGGAGATAACCTTTGCCTGAGCCAGGATACCTGCCTCAACCTGGAACGGGTGACATATCTCACTATAGACGGGAAAATGTAACTGCCTCTGGCTTATCCGGTGGTAAGAGGCATTATTTTTAGTGTCAGAAAATCTAGAATCTAAACTACAGTCTTTCTACAGCCAAGGCTGAGCCCTCTGATTGGACGGCATTTCTCAGCAGCCAGCTCTATCTAAACTAACCCTCCAAAACCTAGTGTTCTCCTTCCCTCTCTCCAACTTTGGGCTTTAATATTGTCCTAAACTCCTTTCAGGAATGACAACTAGGGAAAGGGGGAGATAACATAATTTTCCTAGAGCGTATATACCTTTTCCCTATCCACTCTAATTATGTGTAGGATAACCTAGTGTGTGAGCCTTTGCCCTGTCAGTCTTTTAACCCAGGTACTGCCCCAAGTTCCTAGTGTGGGCTTGCATTGCCTGAATTCAGCCACATTCTAGACGTCCAAGGCCCCTTCCTTTCCTCTTGCTTCCTCTAATGTTGACATACACAGTGGGAGAATGATCACCTACTTCTCTACCGTTGGTGCCGAGAAAGGGCACCATTTAGGATGCCCTGTAATCCATCTCTTCCACATGACAATATGGAGTTTGAAAGTAAAAACCCTTAGAAGATTGTGGAGAACAATAGTGTTTGCCAGGGGAAGTTAAATGGTCTTCTACAATAACGAAACAGGAAAAAAGAAACTGCTGTGTTGGCTGCAGAGATTACTCTTAGTTAGCAGGAAGTCTTACCCGATCATAAGTAATCTGGGCAAACTCAGGTTTGGAGAAAAACCTTTCTTCCCCAACCAGGCTGCCAATACAGCCAAGGCAGACTGTGGAGGGACCTCTGCAGAGGGTGCCCTCAGGTGGGATTTGAAGATAGAAGTGTGTGCAGCCTTAGGTCACAGATAGAAACAACAGCCACAGTCCTCCCTGTGGCTCAGGAATAGATTTGAAGACAGTGGCTCATGTCACTTCTCTGAACTAGGCAGTATGAGACCATGCCGAGCAGATGAAGGCTTATTCCACCCAATAAAGCAATATGCCAGTGTCACCTCAAATGCTCCTGAGTTTTCACTGTAAAATAGGACAAATAACTTACCTTGTAAGGCTGTAGTGGCATTTAATAGTGTATTTAAATGCCTGACATTTGTAGTTTTTCTTCTAAGAGTTGTCCCTAAAGGTCCATTATGGATTATGGGGAAAATCTGTAGGATTGCTCAACTTTGTTCAAACAATAAATGTAATAAACTGGAAGTAATTTATATCATTGAAGCTGGAGAGCTATTATTAAATTGCATGACGTAAGCCTTGTTACTCAAATAATTTTAGTTTCAATTGATTGGCTCAATGCAAAAGCAATTGAACCTACTTAACTGATTAAGCTCAGCCCATTTCCTCCCAGAGCACAGTCTGCCTGGCATCACCTGTGAACATTACTCGGCTCTGTTGTTGTTGGCAAATGCTTCTCTCAGTGCTGGCCCTCTTTATCGCGTTTATCTCATGCAGTGTGTCAGATTGAGATTATGTTCATTGTGCTTTTCTTCCTCCACCATTACCTAAGAGGAAGCTACTTAGGATTCTCTAACTCATCTCAAAAAACAGTTGCTGCATTAGAATTAATTACCTAGGAACCAATAAAACAAAAACCTTATAACAGATTTACTCATAACGTCTGGGAGATGAGTGTTTTTAGCAGTGTTTAAAGAGTTCCCCAGTTGATTTTAATTGGGGCAGAATTTGTAAGATAAATGAAATGCATCACTCTTGTAGATAATATATTTTCTTTAAGCTGCAAATTACTGTATATAATTACTGTATATAATGTTGCTGCAAATGAGCACTTTTACATTAGCACGGATTAGTTTATCAGATTACTTGGTTGATACTTGGTTACTTGGTTTAAGGGGATAAAATACTAGCTAGGCAAATTTCATTGTTACAGCAAAGACACCATAAGACTTGAACAGTGGAAAAGCACAAACAAGAGGTCTGGGAAGAGCAGATGAGTGGCAGCTTAGAGGAAGACCAGGCAGCAGGAGACCACAGGGTAGGAGGGAGTATTGGGGGAAGTTCTGCAGACTGGTTTCAAATGCTATGCAAGTAAAGATTTTTAAAAATGGTAATCCCAGCTACTTGGGAGGCTGAGGCAAGAGAATCACTTAAGCCCAAGAGTTTGAGGTTGCCTTGAGCTGTGACTCACCAAGAGTGACAAAGTGAGACTCTGTCTCAAGGGAAAAAAAATGGTAATCCCAATATAGATAAAGATAACGAGAATTTTACACTATTGGAGAAAATGTATACTTTTTGAGGAAAGTTTGGCAATATCCGCCAGAAGCCTTAGAAACGGGTTTATTCTTTGAGCCAGTACCCTTCTAGGTAGAATTTGTTATGTAAGTACTGGTGAATACAGGCAAAGCTGTAGATACAGAAATGGAAACATTCTATAGGATTAAAGTCCTTGTTTAGCCAGTGTAGAAGCACTTCCGTTTATAATATGAAAGAACATTCAGCAACTTTTCTTGGTTTTTATTTTTATTTTTGTTTTATAGCATCATTTGAAAGAATAAAAATTTCAGAATAAGAGATTAAATTATGGTAAATTCATATTTGGGAATACTAGATAGCTAAAAATTTAGGCTATACAATAATGTTGAATGACCTGCAAAAGATTTGTATTGTATGTTAAGTGGAAAATGGCTGTAAAATAGTTTAAACAGCAAAATCAGAATCAAAATCTGCTTTTTCTATATATGTGTCTATATATTTGTATCTGCATATATAGAAAAGGCAGGACAATATAATTTACAATAGGGTGGGTTTTTCATGGACCATAAGGTCTTATCTTCAGTTTTCATATTTGTATATATTACTGTTTTTCTACAATGAACATGTAGTAATAAGTTTTTTAAATTTTTTTATTTCAGATTGATATAAGGGTACAAACAACTAGGTTATATTATTTGTATTTGTTAGATAAAGTCCAAGAGTAAGAGAGGAAACTATTAACTTTTTCCCCCAGAAGTAGTTTTTCTACTTCTTAAATAGAATTGATATGTCAATGTTGTGTATATTTCAGTAATTGTCCTATGAGAAAAATCATATTTCTTTTAAAAAAGCATTCTGAATCCCCTAATATAGCCACACAGTACCATGCTCCATGCCCATGTCACTTGGATTTAACACAGATTGAAAACCTGTGTGAGTCTTCGGAGAGGCACTAAAATCACCTAAGAAGAACTACAGTCTAGTAAAATGGAGAAGTCGTGTTACTAGATAGCTATTAAAAAGCTAGGTATTAGAGAAGACTAGTTACAAAATCGAATAGGAGGGAGAGGCCTTGTACAGTTTAGAGGGGTGTGAAGGTGTGATGACTAAAGGCATAATGATGTCTCGGGGGTGCGGAGCAAGAGCCTGGCTTGTCTCTCCTGGGTAATCTCCTAACTTACTAGTTCTTATTTTATGAATCTTTTCAGTGACATGATGTAAAAGAGAGGTTGCTGAAACTGGTGTTTCTGCTGAATGTTCTTGAGGTTCTGAAGGATAACAGTGCTTTTGGACTAGTTGAGCAAGGTTTTACATCTTTTTTTTTTTTCTGCAGTTTTTGGCCGGGGCTGGTTTGAACCCCCCACCTCTGGTATATGGGACCAGCACCCCACTCCTTTGAGCCACAAATGCCACCCAGGTTTTATATCTTGTAAAATGTTCCCAGGCTTGTTGAGATTTAATGTCACTTCACTTGGATTCTCCGTGCATGATGTGCTTTGGGGCTGTGTAAGTGTGGTTTAAATGACAGGAGATCCTCAGAACACCAACATGATAATGTCTTTCATAACAGTTTTGAACTGGAATGTTTACTGATGTTAAATAAAATTAACTTTAAGACATTAATAAATAAGTTATGTCTATTGCCTTCCAGACTTGTAGTGATGTATATTCATGTAAATTGGAAATTTCACCAACCACAATAATGTTCAGCTGATTTGATAGGCTTTTCTTCAAGCACATTTTAGTAAAAAGACTATAAGAATAGCATGGGGGGGTGGCACCTGTGGCTTAAAGGAGTAGGGCGCCATTCCCATATACCAGAGGTGGTAGGTTCAAACCCAGACCCGGTCAAAAATTGCAAAAATAAAAATAAAAATAAATTAAAAAAAAATAGCATCGGGGCAGTATTTAATCAGTATTCCTTCTGGCAGGTGAATGATCTGAGTTGGTCTCTATAGACAGAACCTATGAAACGCTGCCAGATTGATTCAGCTACCAGGTGTGGAAGACAATGCCTAATTTATAGTTTCCTTTTATTTTTTCTAGCACTTTTACAAATAGAGCCCTGAGCATAGACATACCATCATTATGACTTTATTTTAATGGGTCATCCTATTTCTAATATGCAGCTTGAGCCTTGATCTCAGACATTTCTGTGAAATGTGATAGCACAGCTAATCATTTTTAAACATTCTATTTCTGCATAATTGCTTCTTTTAAAAGTGAGCATATATTTACTTTTTTCCAGAAATCTGGAATGCTTCACAAATTTGCATGTCATCCTTGTACAGGGGCTGTGCTAATCTCTGAGTGGCTCCAATTTTAGCATGTGTGCTGCTCAAGTGAGCACCGTATTTACTTTCACCGTTGAATGAAACTGTGCAAACTGCCACTTATTTTCTCCTTCAGTTTATGCTTATAAAGAATGAAGAAATGTAATTGAAATTTTCAGTGAGAAACTGCATATATCCCCTGCCTAATTGAGATGTGTCTGTAATGAAATTATAACAACACTTATTTCAGTGTTTCCAAAATAAAAAATGAAAATCCTACTATGTAGAAAATCCTACTATGATTCCCCCTTTCAATACATATTAACTGAACACCAGTGTTAGGAGCTGGCAAAACAGAAATGAGCAGGACAGACACCACTAATCTTGGGGAGTTTGCAGCTGAGTGAGGGAGATGACCCAACTGTCAGGGACAACCTGCTCTTGAATGATAGGAGAAGAGCTACAATAGGGGCATTTGGGTTAGGGTTAGGGTTTGGGGGTTGCTGCAAGAGCCTTGGAAAAGACACCTGAAGTAGACCTGGGCATTGGGGAATGTTTCTCCTTCACGTTTATATTTATTTAATCTGATTTATCAAGGTTGAATTTTTAGAGATCGCATTTGTTAAGCATGTAGTGAGTGTTTAGTCTGTGGCAGGCATGCGGTTAATGTAGCCCATAGTACAACACTATCAGCAGGTGTTCTTAATTTCTTTTTGTGACAAAGGAGGAAATTGAAATGCAAACAAAAGTAACTTATTCAAGATGACACGGTTTATAAGGGGAGAAGCCTGGATTACACTCCATTCAGTCTTACTTTTTTCTGAGACAGAGTCTCAGCCTCCCAAGTAGTTGAGACTACAAGTCCCAGCTATTTTTTTGTTGCAGTTGTCATTGTTGATTAGCTGGCCTGGGCTGGGTTCAAACTGGTAGGCCTTGGTGCATGTGGCTGGTTTAGTAACCACTGTGCTACTGGCACCTACCCAAAGTCTGTCTGTCTTCTCAGTGTAAGAGCAGTTGAAAACCAGTGGAGGATCAGGGACACAGGAAAACAACCCTTCCCTGACCTCCCTTGTTGCTGGTGTAGGCTGTCACCTATTGCGTTAGATCACGTTTCCACAGGGACCAGCCAAGTGAAGGAGGTGAGAGGGGAGTTGCAGCCCAAAGCAGCAGTATGTGAAGGCTTCATTTGGAGAGGATGGTGCAGCTGAGGAATTCAGAGTGGTTTGGGCTAGTTGGTGCTTATAGTTCAAAGGTTAGAGACTGAACAGGGGCCGGGGGGAGGGGGTTGGGGAGCACAGGTCAGGTCATGGGGGGCTCTGTGGGCAAGAAAGGAGCCACTCACAGATTTGTTTTCATATTTTTTGCATGTGTTTCAAAGTGTGATACCACTTAAAGATTTTTAGCAAGGAAGTCACATGGTTAAATCCATGTCTTAGTACAATCCTTCACAACAGCAGTGTAGACAGGAATCTAAGAATGCAGAAGTGAAGGCAGGAGACCATTTAGGAAGCACCAGTCCAGGTGAGAGCATGAACTAATGGAGCTGTGTTGGCAGGGACAGTGTGGTGTGGAGAAGAGGAAAGAGTGAAAGATGAGTCCTGGGACAGAGTTGATAGTAATTAGGTGAATAGGAGAAAGAGCTGACCTGAGGGGAAAAGTAGTTTTGGCCTAGATTTGAAGTGTCAGTGGGACTAGCCTAAGGATAACTATTTACAAACGTCTGCATCCTCAGGTCCAGGGCTCAGGAGAAAGAGTTGGGCTGAAGGTGTGGATTTGGGAAGGGGTGGCAGTGGAGACAGCAGAAACGAATGTGTGTGGAGTGAGAGTGGGACTGGCAGGTCCTGCCCAGTGCCCCTGGGGGATGCTAGTGGCAGGTGGAAGAAGAGGCCAGATCTCTGAGAAGTGATACCTTAAAGAACATCACTTCTGTTAACACCTCACACTTGCACAGCATCAGAGGCTCTAATCAGAGCTCCTTTATTTTTTACAGTAAATAACTGGTTGGCATTGTTGTTTCCATATGTCAGTTCAGGAGACCAGGGTCAAAAAGGGTCACTGATGCTGCCAATATCACAGGACTAGCTGTAGTGGTGAAACAGGAACTGGAAGCCACATTCCTGCCGCCTCCTGTCTCAGGCCCTCATGCCAGGCTATGCCTTGGGAATCTTATAGTAACTTTGTCACTTGTGCACTCTTTGTGTCCAGACTTTTTTGGACCTCCCATAGTTAGATTAATCTATCTTAGTCCTTCTCAGTCTTTTTCATATCATAGAAATCATAAAAATTATTGTTTGTGTAGTGTATAGGGGAGTCTGGAAGCAATTTGGGAGGAATTTATATGGCCTTGAATGACAGAATTCACAAGTATTTTCCTCCCCCCAGAGACAGGGTCTCACTCTGTCCCCCAGGCAGAAGTGTAGTCATTCACTGCAGCCTCAAACTCCTTGCCTCAGACTCCTGAGTAACCGGGATGATAGGTACCTGCCACTAGGTCTAGCTATTTTTAAAAAATATATATTTTGTGGAGATGGGGTCTCACTTTGTCACACAGGCTGATCTCCAACTCCAGGACTCAAGCGATCCTCCCATCTCTGCCTTCCAAAAACTGGAATCACAAGTGTGAGCCACCATGCCTGGCCAAATTTATAGAGTTATATATTTTAAAAAGTTATATGATTTGCTAATAGAATGCCAACTCTGATAATTTTTGAATAGTTATAAAAAGTGGCTTTAAGTTTTTACCTTCATAAAACAAACATTCACATCTGGTTGCCCACCTATAATCCATTTACAGCGTTCCTATGGGGAGGCTCACCTCTGTCTGGTTTGTAACTGTTTAAATACACACTTAAAATCATTGCTTTTGAACACAGATAGTCCTCAAGTCACATATGTTTAGACACCATATAACTATTGTCTCTATATCACAAGATACCTGGCACCTAGCCTTCCTGGAGCTACAATCCAGTGCTAAAAACCTAGGCCAAATAGTTAAGAATGTAAAAGAATTATAGGAAATGTGGAGAAATTTGTTGGCAGGTTAGTAACAGTGAAAACCCCAGAAACAGGTGAAATCCCCTGAGGAGACAGTGTGAATGAGAAGAGGTGGAGCCACAAAGGAGACAGAGCATCAGGGGACAAAGGAGAACTGGGAAGATGGTGTCGCAGAAGCCCTGAAGGAGCCCAGGAAGAGGTTGGGGGCAACTGTGACGAGCTCTCCCGAGATGCTGGGGATCATGAAGACTGACGCTGGCCAGTGGGCCACGTGGTGCTCTGCCAGGCAGCTGTGGCTTCTGTATTAGGTGTTGGCCCACAGCCTATTTGTTGGAGTGATTTTAAGGATTTCTGCCGAAACCTCAGCAATGTTGATATGGAGCTGTCATTACAAATAGGAATACTTAAAATGTGTTTTATAGGTTGTGATTAAAACCTGAGATGGTTACCAATGGACATTGCTGATGTACTAAAGATATACATGTATGTTAAATATACATATATAGCACTGGGGGCAGTGGCTCACACCTACAGTCCCAGCACTTTGAGAGACCAAAGTGGGAGAATCCCTTGAACCCAGGATTTGGAGGCTGCAGTAGGCTGTGATCATGCCACTGTACTCCAGCTTGGGTTACAGTCAAAACTCATCACAAAAACAGCACAAACAAAAAGAAAATGTAATAACTCTTTTCCCAAATTGACTATAAATTTATGTTGGGCGGTTCTGCAGTTGGCCGTGTGACATTTAAACGCATTGTATACTCTGCTTTTGTCACAGACAGGGGGTCAGTGTTTCCACGATACTAGATTTTAGCCCCCATAGAAGCTGCTCCTGACCAGAAATCAATAACTTCTTGGCCTTATTTCTTCACATAGCTAATTAAAATTGCTTAATTCTGAATTACTCTTTAATTGAAGCTCTGTCCTACATAAAAAGGAAAACATTATTACTGGCTATGTCAAAGAAGGAGCTTGTTTTGTATTTCAATTACTTTAAAAATATTAGCATGTTTTCTGTCTCTAGCATATTTTTGGAGGCAAATCATAGAATTTTAACTGCTTTAAAAGTTGTTTTTTTTTTTTTTTTTTGGACAGTCTCGCTCTAGTGCCTAGGCTACAGTGCTGTGGCATCATAGCTCACAGCCAGGCCAAACTCCTGGGCTCAAGTCATCCTCCTGCCTCAGCCTCATAAGTAGCTGGGACTACAGGTGCCCACCACAATGCTGGGCTAGTTTTTCTATTTTTTGGAGAGACAGGGTCTTGCTCTTGTTCAGTCTGGTCTCTGACTCCTGAGCTCAGGTGATCCACTCACCCTGATCTCCCAAAGTGTTAGGATTACAAATATGAGCCACTACACCTGATCCAAAATATTGGACTTTAATTTGGGTGTTATCAGTGGCTAAATGTTTTTATGCAAGTCCTAGCTCTAACCACCCCCTCCCTGTTTTTTTTCCCCCATTTTCAGCTTCACAGTGAGGCAAATGATCATGGGTAGCATTTTAAGAGCTCTGCAAACTTGTGACTTTACAGCTGCCATAGCAAGAAGGGCCTTGTGCACGTGGGGGAGCCAGGTGCACTGCCAGGGCCTGTGAGTAAGCACTGAGGTCATGGCCAAGTGTAGTGTTCTGCTCTGTTACTGTCCTTCCCCTTTCTGCTCACAGAGGAAGACATGTTATTCAGACTGTCAGCATATTTCCAGCAGGTGTTTACTGATTACCCAGACAGTGCAGGGACCTTGAGGTTCTCACACTCTGAAAAACCAAGAAGTAGACATCTCAGCACAGCCTGCCAAGCACTTCCGTTTGCCAATAGCAGGAGCCTGCTGGGAGCCAGGTGGAGGGAGCCACTGTGTGTCTGAGGAACTTGAGCCAAGGGGTGCAGAGGACGTGCTGGTGCATCTGAGTGGATGAGAAGCAGCACCGGTCAGTCAGACAGGAAGGCCATTCCAGAAAGAACAACAGCAGGTGCAAAAGTCTTGGCACACACAAGGAAACAGCTTCTACTGAGTTTCTGAAAGTATAAAATCAAAGTTTGAGGATTTTTGCTTAACTGAACCATGGGTGGTTGGGAACTTGCCTGTGTT